CTTCGGGCTGCGGCAGCGGGAGGGTGCCCGGGTCTCAGTGTCAGGCAGGGGGTTATTTATTGAGGACGCAGCTCCGGGAGATGTCGTGGTGCTGGGGCCCAGCGTGAGCAAGGGGGGAAGCAGGACAAATTAATTCCAGCTTGCACTCACTGCCTTTCCCCGGTCTCTTTATCACGCAGGCCAACACTTGCGTGGAATTCAGATTAAACTTTATAAGGAGTAAGTGAAGCTGGAGGCTGACTTTATTAAATATTTCTTATTTAAAAAGCTGATGTAAAGGGACACTTTTAAACGCTGGCAGCGGTATGTGTGCCCTTGCTCTGCTGTCGGAGTGCCCTTCAGCGGTAATACAACCCGGCCAGGTCGTCTGGCTGCAGCCTCGTCACCCGATGCTGTTTCTGCCGCAACTCTACGATCAATCCATCCTTAAAACCCTGTGGTAACATCACTCCTCTCTCTCCCTTCTTCCTGCAGGCAGCTGAATTCTTGCATTTGTTAGCTCAGTTTAACGATATGGGTTTCCAGCAAAATGAAATCAAAGAAGTTCTTTTGCTTTGTGGGAATCAGAGGGAGAAGGCGCTGGAAGAGCTCGTGATGAAAGCCCAGTGAGCAGCATCCTGGACCCCAGTCACAAGCCTCCCCTCTCCAGACCACCCCACCGAAGGACTGGGGTGGCTCGGCACGCGCTTACCCTTCTGCTGCGCCGTCCCCACCCCGAACTGCACGGCTCACCCAGCGTGGGTGTCGCGTCTCATTTCGGGGACACCCCTCGTCAGCGTGTTTTGTCACTGTACCAAGGCACAGGCTTTACAGCAGGAGCGTTTGTCTCGTCACCCACACGTCGCCCTCGATCATCTCGGCTGTTTAGATCAGATCCAATAAGGTCCAAACCGCCTCCGGCTTTAGATTTTGCAAAACCCAACCCACAGTTTTCTCCCTCCACCTGGGGTGATGGGTGTTGTGGTTTCAACTACGGTCAAATGCGGGTATATAAATCAGCAGAAGAGATTGTTTTCATGAAAACTGAAGGCTCCTGCAGAAACATTTGTTGGTCCTTGCTTGGGAGGGGTCTCAGCTGACTTAGTCATGGTTGCATATTGTAATTGAAATCCAGTACGATCACATTAGCTTCTCCTTTTAAACCAGAAACTTGAGAAAAATACACAATTCAATGAAGGTAAGGAAAGAAAACAGGGTGCCCTTGCTCTAGAAATGCATGAAGTTTATCTAGCGCAATGAAAAATGGCTTATGCAAGGGTTTGTGCTCAGGGAATTTCATGAAATCAGAACAGAGAGACGGGCAACGGCGCTCGTGCTCTGCCCAAATCAGGAAAGTTCAGGAGATGCCCCCCTAAACTGTGGAGACGGTGGCTCCAAATTAAGTTAAGCATGAATGTCAGGATCAGGAAAATCTGGATGCCCGGGAGAATTTTTTTGTGTAACTGAAGGATAGAGAATGGGAGATTCAGATCACCTCACGGGATGCGTCTCTTGGCTTGGCAGTGGGACGGTGGACAGTGTTTTTGCATAAAAGTGTATTATTTTCCTGTGAATTAGATACAGATGTAATTTCTTTGAGTAAAGACGGTCGGAGGGGTTCTTCTGAAATGTATTTGTGTCTTTTTCCTGTGAAAATGCCAGCTGGCACAACCCAGCAGAGAAAAATCCTTCATTAGTGGCGTTAGTACCATTTTTCCACTGTATCCTCCCAAACGATCTCCCAGCCCAACATACAGCCATCGAGTTAGAACACACTGTGTTCCTTCTCCCTGGACCTCTAGGGAGGTGGCAAACACCAGCAGGAGGGTACAGCCCTCCGTGGCTGCCTTCATCCTAGCCTGGATGCAACAAGGAAACTTGGCATCCGGGTTTTGGGGGACGTGACCCGTCTGTACCCAAGGATGCTTTACACCTGCTCTTCTTTAATGGCATCGAGAAGGAGAACGTGGCACCTTGTATGGCCAAGGCAGATATTCGTGGGGAGCTCACAGGCTCTTCTTGGAGCTCCCAGCTCTGTTTTTCGTCCGGCTTTCCCTCAGTTACACAAGCTTTTATTTTTGATGCAGCCCTTATAAGGCAAGTCCGTTCTACAGACAGCTTTTTGTTACGTTCATCCTTGCCAAGATGATGTCACCTTAAAAAAAGAAACTTGCAAAAGGTTAAACTGTGATTAGATAGATCCCTTCGCCTCGAACTGTAATCTTTGGCGGGGTGAACACCACGAAGATTGAAAGGGGAAGATAACGGTGCTGTGCCGGTGCCAGTAATGCGTAACGTCGAGGGCTGAATTCTGGTGGAGCGAAGCCCATTCGCAGCGTCGTGCCCACTCACTGTGCAAAGGCTGAGCAGCCTCTCGCTCTCCTTAGAGATTCGCTTGGTCCTGGCTCATCAGTTTTTCCCCCTCTGCTTGCTGAGGTAAGAAGTGTATGTTTTTTCCTCCCTGGGTGCCTAAAATGATCTTGTGTTACTTTCTGTGTCATGGTCTGGATTGATGGATGCAACAAATCACTCCTCTTTCGGGAGCATCCATGCCATATGCCACAGTGCCTGCCCAGACCCGCTCTTTCCCCCAGGTGCTACCTTGAAAATCTTAAAACGTTCTGCATTTTGTCGGCAAATACCTTTGTAAAACCCTGAACTGTCAGAAAAAAACCCAGCTTGTGAAGGTGGGAGGAGAGGTTCTACCGCTTGGTGGTGTCGGAGCTGGAGGGAAGGGGAGAGCCTGCCAAGTTCAGCTGTCCCGGGTTAGCCACAGGAGCCCGTCATAAATATTTTAGTAACAGAACTATTTTAACTTTCTTTTAATGGAGGGTTTAAGCTGTTTGTTCAACTTAAAATGGCTTTAAAGCGGCGTGCTTCCGTGTGCTGCTTTCAGTTAGGAGAAGACAGCGTGAAATGTTAATTGGCTTCGTCTAGAAGGGAACGAGGATTTGACTTGATGGGCTTTCTGCTGACGGTCCGCCCGAGGATTGTGACGCCGCTCAGCTGGTGCTGCAGCACCCCGTAGAGCGGGGTGAGGTCCACCAGTGTCCCCGGCCACCATCAGACCTGCACCTCCACCGGCTGCAGGCCCCATCCCGGGGGTGACAGCGGGGTGGTGGCCTGGCCCGGTGGCAGAGGGCAAAAGGGGACGAGGCACGTCGAGCGGGTTTCGGTCCGGACGTGGATGCGAGCTGGGGTTTTCTGGTGTGCTTTGGTTTGTGGTTGTCTCCTGCGGGGTGTTTTTTTTTTCCTCAAATGCGGGAACTGTTTTGAAAACGCTGAGAACTTGGCGAGGGTCAGCAGCGGAGGTATTTGAGGCATCCCGGCTGGTATTCCCTTCCGCTCCCTCTCGGCCAGGACAGCACGGGCAGCCCGAAGCCTGCTCCATGGAACCAGCTGAGCCTTGGGTTTGCTGCTGTCCTGGTCCCCGCGGGTCTGCCAGCAGCGCTGCGGTCTCAGAGGGGAGCTCTGCGTTCTCCGGCCATCCCCAGAGCTGGTGTTGAGAGCGAGCAACGTTTGGTACCCGGGGGGTGGTACCTCATGAGAATGGCTCATCAGCTTACGGAGCTCTGCTCGTGGAGAAGACCTCCGTGAGGCTGGCATCGCCACGCAACGGTGGTGCTCTCTCTGTTCCTTCCCTGTTTGCACCCTCTGTGTTTCCAAGGTTTGCCATGTCCTCAAAAGACCCTGTCTTGGCTCAAAGGAGCCGCCGATGAGCACCATCAGTTGCTGCCCCATTGAGTCTGTGCTGGGGCTTGGCGGACAAGCCTGGAGGAGGTGATAGCTGGGTAATGGGGGGCTCCCGAGTCCCAGAAACCCCTCAGTCCATTAAGCTTCCAGTACACAGGAGATGCTTTCCTTCACACCCCCCC